GGGGGAGAATGTTACGGACAGCGAGAGACCCGCCGCCCCGTCGCCCCTTCGTTCCCCGTTACGTCCCGCGCACCCCGCACGCCGGCGCTGATCACGCGATATCGGGCAACCAATCAGCGCGCGTGCGGGGAATATTGCCATCGGGCGGCCAACCCGACGAAATGAAGCGCTCTTCTCGGAAATATAAGAAGGGCGCCTCGGACGGTCGTTGTTCATTCGGGTTCATTCGGATCATTCAGAAGCATTCAATCGGAAGCGGCAAGGAAGAATCAAGACAGAAGACTCCATACTGAAGACCTCCCTTTTGTATAGTGATTAGTTAATGTACCGAACCCTTGTAAATAGTGAATATAGTATAATTAAAAGTACCATCTTTTCTTCGAGCAGTCCCCTAGCATAGCTAACCTCACACCGACAGTTAAAATACCAAATACAGTCCACTACTCTCCATCCACTTTAGATACATAAATACTCGAGAAGGTATTTTGTTTTAAAAAAGGGGTTTCACACACTTCATATACTGCAAAACGGCTCGTGAAAGTAAACAAAGCGCTTTTAAATGTAGAATCCCGGAATAAAAGAGATGGAATGCTTTAGTAAAAACCTTTTATCATAGCTATCTTTTGTTTATTAATTCAATGAAAGTGTTATCCTTAGTGAACAAGTCGTGATATCGTGAGTCATGAGTAATAAAACTTTATAGATACCCCATAATAATAATAATAATTTATTGGACTCTCAGTTTGACAAATTACATTGATGTATTATATCTATTTTAAATTACAAAATAACATTTCAAATAAGTTAGCGTTAACGGCCATACTAGTATAAACTGTGTTACAGCCGTCAGCGTCTTCCACCCTCAGTAGTACAAAAATAATTTCATTTCGCTATACAATACACAGACAAGTTAAAATAAATATGGAAAATAAAGGGGTTTTTTTTTTTCTAATAAGCGAATGAACGGATGAAAGTAACGAATAAGGTGGATTGTGTTACCAAATGAGTGACACAATCCACCTGTGACTGTGTGTATGTCACTCTTATTTCATAAAAAATACTGTGGTCCCCAGAAACCTGTTATCTATCATTAATTAAGAATCAAAATTTAGATGCCTTGTCACCACCTGAGGACTAAGATAGAATACTTCGTTTATTTCAGAGAGACAACTATAAAATCAATTAAGTTTTTAATCGTTCTGCATAAAAAATTTTTTGAAAGATTGTGTCAAGTTGTGAAAATGTAAGCCGCTGGGTGCCCCCAGGACTGGATCGTCATCCATCCACACTATACGACTCATATCGCGCTATTGAATGCGCCGAGTGGGGCTTAATACCCAACCCCCGCACCTCTCACCCCACCCCCCGCACCGCCGGAGCCCCGAATTTTTACCAAATTAATCTTTCTTCAAACACTCCAAGTTCTTTGTGCGGCGATCGGAGAAGCAAATTTAATCTTGTGCCCGCAATGATCGCACATAACGCTCTGCGGGCCTCGGAAGGGGGGAGGCGGGGAGGAGGAGGGTTAGCACAAAGAACTCTTAAACAAAGAGTTCGAGACTATAGGCTGCGCTAAGAGCAATCGATACAAGTTTGTACTAGACTTAGCCGTTTACCCTTTTATTTTATATTTGCGATGTTTTGTTCCGGCGATGTTGAGAGCATTTTAAGATTTCATCTTTAAATCACTGCATATAATAAATATAAAATAGAATTACTTGATGGTGATGGTAGATTAAAAGAATCAATCTCCCAATTTTGTCGCGTGAGTGATATAAGGGGTTATTAGTGGAAAAGCCAGAAAGACATGATCTCAGATAGAATCCGTGAATATATTACTAAAACACAGACAGACCAAATCGCTTGTAATTGCGATCGTAATTCCACTAACCAATCGTTAAATCCACAGACTTCATTAACAGTTCACAATATTCACTTGTAAACTGTTATTAAGGTAACCAATTTTTCAATTGACAGATAAAAGTCATACAACTGTCATTTTTAATTTGTTTATGTTGTATTTATTTTCCTATGAATAACATTTAACTGGTACGATACGTGATAGAGTCATATTGCAGCTATATTATAGTTGTGGCACGAATGGACGAATGGAGTAGGACCACGCTATCACAGAATACCAGCGTAAAATAGCAGCTTAACGCTGCTGTGTTTCCTTAGTCAGTGTAGAGAACCGAAGACCTTTTTTACTGGATAAGCGGCATTCCATCTTAGTCCTTAGGGTTGACGACGCAACTGAATTTTGATTATTAATCGAGGATAGAAGGAGAGGTCTATGGGTCACAGTATTCACTTTACATCAGGTGGGCCGTTGGCTCCTTTGTTACCCCTATTCTATAAAAAAAACTGACGAATGAAAAATCGGCCCTTAATTATAAATTTTTTACACGAAACACAAGTACTTACCACATAACAGAAGTACCTTTAACATATGTGAGACAAGTATTCTTACATACATTCGAAAGTGTGATGGGATAGTTACGAATAAAACTACAGAATAACTTCCTCTTTCGGTTTATTGTTACGACTACAAGACAATATTGCAAGCCACTACGACTACTCGCTCAATAAATACTCGCTGCACTCGACAGCAGTGCTCCTCAATAGCTCAATACTACCGTATCATTTACACTATTTACAATTTAACATATTTACAATCACTTAAATCTGATCACCATGGCAACTTCGTATTACAATACGCTTATTTATGGCGTAAGGTTAAGGCTTAATCACAAAACAAAATATAGAGACAATTTCCGATTACAATGGGCAATCGAATCACAAATTAACAATCTCCATTCTGTTCATTTTTCACCGTTAGTGCTTGATAACGCATGCGATAAGTTCGGAGCCAGACTAGAATGCAGTTTCAGAGACACGGGGACAGTCACAACATACCTAACACGAAATATTAACAATTTGCTTTACACAATAATTGGGCATTCGCCATAATTAGAATCTAGGACTATATATTACACAAATCGTATATAGAATCGTTTTCACGGCTCCGTGGCGCAGTGGCTTAGCAATGAGTTGTTGCGCTGAGGGCCGCGGTTTCGAATCCCGCACGGAACAAGTATTTGTATGACTTACGAATATTTGTTACATAAATTTCACAAAGACTGCTGCCCCCACGATACAGGATAAATTCCTCGTGTGGAGGTAACGTTTAAAAAAAAAGAAATCTTGTACTTCGTCCTGCAAAGTATATATGGTATTGCCAAACTGGAGTAACCTAACAACCCTGTCGTATGTCCTCGTTCGAGTATATTATCTATGTTACTAGACTCAGAATTAAAGAGTTGGTAATCTACGTGCTAATGTTTATTAAAGACCCACACAGAAGTTTTCAATACTTTGTACAGAAAAATATTAATTCCTATAAAAACCCTTATTTATCATTATTTCTGTTATACAAATAAACTTATTACTTATAAAAGTTTTTAATCCCTATCATTACTAAAATCGTATTCAATTAAACATTATACAATTATTATTATAATTTTATGTAGATATTATAATATGTCTCTGATCATCACCTGTGGTCTGCTGTTGTGATGAGATTTTTATACAATGGCAAATGAACTTACAATCCCCTTGATGATGATTAATTACAAAGACAACCACTTATGTAATAGCGAATGATAATAACATATTTTAGGCGTGGTAGAGCCAAGCGGCAGCTATATTATCTATAGTTGTAGCACGAATGGATCGGTTCGACCGGAGAAGGACCACGCTCTCACAGAATACACGCAAAATAGCTAATAATTCTGCTGTGTATCGTATGGTGTCTAAAGCTGCTAAGTATCGTATGGTGAGTGTAGGGAACCGGAGACCCCTGGAATCGAGGTATTCCATCTTGGGTCTCAGACAATATATGTAGATCTATATAGACCTCAGCATCCATTTACCATCAGGTGGATTGTGTGCTCGTTTGTCACCCTTATTCTATAAAAAAAGTCTTGAATGCTCGTTTTTGTTCTAGTATTGATTTGGTGCAAGGCAAGAGGATTTGAAGTCATTGGTACGATGCTGACCGTTAAGGCACACCTCTTACGTGAATCTGTCTACTGTACACTGCCGGGAATAAGTCATATGTATTATCAAGTGTATAATAATGTAAAATTAAAAAGAAAAAAAAAGAAGAAAGAAAACACTATTCATCCATTTCTTTCACAATAATTTTCGTATAGAATGCGTGCGAATGTTATAGAAAATCCGTTTCTGTTATTAGTTATATGATGATATAAAAAAAATATTTTTAACAATCGATGCGTTAATGCGGTAACAAAGGGCCGGTGTCGGTTACAGATAGCAACTGATATTCCTAAAATAATGTTCCGAGATCCGACCAGCAATCCGTGTTCGATCACTATCGACACCAATAAAAATATTAATTGCTATTTTAATTGGTGATGTAGCACGTGCTCGGTGGTGAAGGAATACATTATTGCGAAATCTACATGTTTGAGAAATAAAATAAATCGAAGACATGTAAAATCATATTAAGGCATGGGAGAGAAGGAAAATCGCTCTTGAATGAAGAAATAAATACAAGCATTGGGACGTATAATGTAGGCTTTAAATTTATTCTTACAACTATTTTATTTAATGATTTATTTAACTGAAAAAACTAAAAATATCTCGCAATTCACTTATGCCAGCCCTAATGGCGAACAGTGGACGAGGTAACTGTATTAATAATTTGTCCCACAAAGAAACGATTGAAGGGGAAAAGTGGACTAGAAAAACTAACACTTTCATTTTCTCACCAACTGTCCCACTGGTAATAAACCAAATATTGAATTGTTTCCTTAAATTGTGCAAAATATTACATACTCTGCTATAACATTTTAAAAATGATGATATTCGAAACGTGTGGGGCAGCCTTCTTGCGTGTGTGGCGACGTGCCCACAAGTGATAAAGTCTGGGCCGTTGTTCTCAAACTGACAGCATGTGGAGCGTGGCCGGCGACGCGTTACGTGTGTACCCGACCGCTGATGCGCTCGTGCAGCAGCGCCTCGTGCGCGCGCAAGCGCAGCGCGTCCGCCGGGTGCGCGGCCAGCGCGGCGTGCGGCGCGTGCGCCAGCGCCGGGTGCGCGAGGGGCGCGGGGAGAGCCGGCGGCTGGGCCGAGCCTGACTCGCGGGGTGGGGAGGGGCGCGCGCCCGACGGGGAGGGGGAGCGGGGATGCGGCGAAGGCGGTGCAGGCGGCAACGCCAGCACGTACCTGAAAAAGTGTTTCTAATTAATTTTGCTAAATACAATCGTGTAACAGTATCAGTGTTAGAGCCATGCTGCAGCTATAATTATGGTTGTAGCATGAATAGGTCAACTCCATCGGGGTAGAACTACGCTCTCACAGAATACCAGCGTAAAATAGCAGTTTAATGTTGCTGCGGAAACCCTTTTCACTGAAAACGAGGCATTTCATCTAATTCCTTAAGTCATCATCATTACAGCCTTTCATAAGTCCACTGCTGAACATAGGCCTCCCCCAAGGAATGCCACAAAGCACGGTCCTGAGCCACCTGCATCCATCGACTTCCTGCATGTCTTACCAGGTCATCACTCCATCTCGTGGGGGGTCGCCCTACATTTCGCCTACGAAGCTGTCACTCAAGAACCTTTCTTCCCCAACGGTTGTCGGTTCTTCGAGCTATATGGCCGGCCCACTGCCACTTCAGCTTACTAATCCATTGGGCTATGTCGGTTACTCTGGTTCTACTGCGGATATACTCATTTCTAAGTTTATCACGCAGAGAAACCCCGAGCATAGCCCTCTCCATAGCTCGCTGAGCGACCTTGAGCTTCCTCATACGACCAGCAGTGAAGGACCACGTTTCAGATCCGTAAGTCATCACTGGCAACACGCACTTGTTGTACAATTTCGTTTTAAGGTTTTGAGGTAGGTCTGACGAGAAGATGTGTCCTAGTTTTGCCAAACGCTGCCCAGCCGAGTTGAATCCGTTCGATTGACCTCTCGGTCGAAGTTGGACTTACCTAGTCGGACTATTTGTCCCAGGTAAACATACTCGTCAACAACTTCGAGCTTAGTGCTCCCAACAACTACCGGCATAGGTGTGACATGGACATTAAACATGATCTTTGTTTTGTCCATGTTCATCCTAAGGTCTATTCGTTGGGAGACACTATTGAGGTCATTGAGCATAGTGCTTAGGTCCTCTAGCGATTCTGCCATAACGAATATATCGTCGGCAAATCGAAGGTGAGTGATGTACTCGCCATTGATGTTAATACCGTATCCTTTCCAGTCCAGAAGCTTGAAAACTTCTTCCAATGCAGCAGTGAAGAGTTTCGGGGATATAACATCACCCTATCTTACACCTATCTGCAATTGAATAGGTTTCGTACTTTGGTTCTGTACCCGGATAGCCATCGTACCTCTACTGTACAAACACTTGAGCACTTCAATATACCGACAGTCAACTTGGCACCGCTGAAGGGACTGCAGCACCGTCCAAATTTCGACGAAATCAAAGGCTTTCTCATAGTCCACATACGCCAGACATAGTGGCAAATTGTACTCTTCGGACTTCTGTACAATTTGCTGAAGGGTTTGTATGTGGTCTGTGGTGCTACAGCCCTTTCGGAAACCGGCTTGTTCGGAAGGCTGGAAGTCGTCAATCAGGTGACTGTGCTCGTTTGTCACCCTTAATTTAAAATCATATCAAGTCTAGTTGATGAGGCCTTGTTTACTTTCTCCGCCATAATAACTTTATTAAATAAATTTAAAATATTGCAGTTAACGAAACAAAGAACTAGTCTTCTCAGCCGCTCTCATTCGACTAATAGAGTTACGGATAATTGTCCGTAACTTAATGCGCAATGTTTTATTGTCCGTCTACGAGTAGTAGTACACAACGAAGTCTTTAGGTCGGAAATTTGTTTAAATTGAAAGAAAAATTAGAGATAACGAGTGTGTGATGTTACCTGAGCAATACCGTGCCCGTCTAGTATAGTACCTACACATAGAAGTATTCGGGGCGAACACTAAAATACGTGAGGATAATATGGTCACCTTAAAGTTTGAAGCCATATAATCCCAAAACTTGGAGGTGGGCCGAAACAAAAACACGGAGTCGTGTACAATAACTAATATATCGAGAAAAAAAACAACTAACAAACTTTGGCAACAGTTGGAAACACTTCGAAAAATCAACTTAAAAACCAGCTAATAACCTTATTTACACTTTCATAAAGCAGCGCCCTTTTGACCTTGTATTATTTGATTGACTAATGAAGGGCTATCGTATCACAGAGCCATTTATGCGAACAAGGCTGTAGTTTTTGAGTTATAAAAGAATGGCCATGTTCGGTTAGAATGGCCACATTACCCTCACGTACTGTAGTATAAATTTAAAGAAAAATTAGAGAAAATTAGTGTGTATTACCTGTGCAGGAGCGCTCGGAAGGCGGCGGCGGGAGGCGCGTCGCGCCACAGCGGCGCCGGCAGCGCGCCCAGCCCCAGCGCCCACCACTCCCCCGCGCCCCACTCCCCGCCCCACTCACCACCTGCACAAATCAAACACCACCATGCATAATGTCTTCCACACACTTCACAAACCGATACGCCTAAGGGACCTTCAGGAAACGACCTTACTCCTTCTTAAAAGGCTGATAACGCATTTGCAATTGCCCCGGTGATGTAGTTGTTCATAGGCGGCGGTCGACACATTAGATCAGGTTAGCGACATGCTCGTTTGCCCCATCTTCTACGAAGCAAATGCATAATATCCTCCAGACCGAATCTCAGTCACGCTAGTCTCCGTTGGTCTCCAGATAGTCACATGTGCGTAATAGTGCACGAATATGTGTGCAAGCACAAGTGCACTTTAATATACACATCCTCACTCTCATAATCAGACGGGATGGCAATCTGACACAACCGCAGGGAGATCAGGCGCAGAGCCTACGGCTATCAGAGGATTGAGAATTTCTTTACAAAACACCTATACAAAACACCTAATGTGGGTAGGAATTGGTGCAATCGGCAAATATCAGCAGCACTGCCATTTATTTATTGCATGCTTAAGGTCGTTTTTTACTTGAATATATGAATGTTCGGGCTTTTGTCTACTGAGGAGCCCATCTGGGTGGGTACCACTTTCTTTCTTTCCCATGATCATAAGTGACTGTATTAAGTATATAATTTTACTTCATGTTACAAATGGGTAATGTTACAAGGCTATATACATTTATTAGTGCAATAATCGATAAGAGAGCAGCATTTATATTATCTGTGACGTTTACCTATGAGCATAGACTTATACGCCAGTATCATATTCTAAATCTATGCCTATGAGTTGCTACTTTGTATTAATCTGTGTTATTCTTAACAGACTGTTACCCGTGGATAAGTTCACTCTTGAACAGTATACGCTACACAGCCTTTACAATAGATATTATGTGTACAGATACAAGCAAATATACTTGATCCAATCTAGCAGGACTTCTCGGCATATAAAGAGCTATACCATCACGTAAGAAAGTAGAGTTGTGATATATTGCGTCATAAACACACTCAACCACAAGGCGCGAGTGTGTGGGTGAGTTGTCTTTATTATATAACAAAAACTAGTAAAGTTATTAACATTACTAATATTCCGTTTAACCCCTACTGGTAAGCGGTTTACTCTCTGTCAGGAAGTTGTATATATTCTGGACAACCCTCAAAACTCACAAATCATTGTCTTATGATCCATGCCATTTAAATAAACGACGTAGAAACATGGTTGCCCAGACATACAGAACTAAAACCACATTTGCGAGCAGACAATTTATATCACGTTCTGCCTTTCTTTATAATAAAATAAACAAAGATATTTATATATACGACAAAACATATCACAACTGTAAAAAACTTTTGTTAGAATGGATTCATCATAAGACATATGACGAAATTGAGAAGCTACTGGATTGTGTAGCATGATTTGTTCAGATTCAGACACTGTAATCACACATACTCTTTTTAACTCACGCAAGCATAAACACAAACACACACACACACACACACACACACACACACACACACACACACAGACACATACATAAGTAATAGAATTAATATAGAATTTAAGTAATATATAACATTAATATGGATATAGAATATGTTTATCCATACTGCCTTGTAACATGGATATAGTAATGGAAGGGCGGACCCTCCAAACACAGGCATTATTTGCTTAAATGGAGGTTCCAATCTACTAGTTTTTAAGGCATTTACTTTTTAAAAACGAAATAAAATTTATTTATTATTATTATTATTATTATTATCATTATTATTATTATTAAGCTTAAAATGGTTGTGCGACAGTAGCTGAATGGCGGATTCAAACCCACGACCTATTGAGTTCGCGATTCGCACCCTGCTGTTAGGCTACTGCCGCTTCAACACTTTAAATATTATACTATATCATATGTATATTATAAATTTATTTTTCAACATTATAACAACACAAAGTTGTTATAATCTTCAGAAAAATATCACTTCGGAGACAGCCAATACTAAGTACTATATTGGAACGCACAGGAAAATTATGTTTCAAAATAATTTTAGTAGAGAACAGCAATGAACGCGTTATCTTCACTTAATCGAAAATGCAAACGTGTAAATGTATTCCAGCCCCTTGTTTGGTTTGTTCGGTATCAAAATTAACTATGTATTAAGTGGTTTGTTTGTCCACGCGGCAGGTGATGGACTAGTGCGTGTGGACACTGACACATTAGAGCGTGGACAATAGCGCTCGTTGTGGTACCACACCTGCTGGGCCACTGCCGGCCCCTTGCGCCATACCACTGTGCCAACGTACAGACATACATCATACGTAAGTACACGAGTAGCGATTACGCAAAATGAATTATAGTTGGGAAAGAAGATGCCAAGAACTAAACGATAACAAAGTTGAATATAATTTTGTATTTACGCAAATTACCTAAATACATTTTATAAAATATACTTAAATTAAAGATATATTTTTCTCTAAATTAACACAAATATATTGGTACATTTGTCACGTGATGCTGCATATGATATATATAAGAATATAATATAACTTTATAAACTTAAATAAAATTTCAATATAAAGGCATCCGGCTAATAATCGACATTGATAATATGTTTATACAATGCAATGGAACCAAACGTGGAAGCAAGACGAACCATTCCCACTATTAAAAATATAAACAATTACATTGCAGATTACTTGCTTTCTTTTTTCGAAAAGCTAAAGCGCATCATAACGATTTTAACGTGGTAGTGCCACGCTGCAGCTATATTGTGGTTGGAGCACGAATGGGTCGGCTCGACTTGGAAAGCACCGCCCTCTTACAAAATACTAGCGTAAAATAGCAACTTAATGCTGCTGTGTAGAGAACCGGAGACCCTTTGTACTCTAAACGAGGTATTCCATCTTAATCCTCAAGGGTGACAACTCATTTGCATTATGAATCTTAATCGAGGATAAATGTAGATGTCTATGGGCCACAGCATCTACTTACCATCAGGTGGACCGTGTGATCGTTTGTCACGCTTATTCTATAAAAAAAAAATATGCGACTCGGCTACGTCGTGTTCAATCAACAGTCATTATATCCCCATTTGTACAACGATCCTTTCCGATCAGCCGACTCCACCTCGCCGGCTCCGGTTACGGCTGTTTTATCTTTTATTTTAATCGCCACGTATTTTGTCATAATGACTTACAAATAACAGGTTACGAAAAATTTCATATTCAAAATTTGTAAGATTTGAATTAAATATCAGATTTGTCAACGTATTGCCCTTTGAAGGAAAGATATTAAATTACTCCCAAAAAAAAAAAATATTTGGAATCCAATCTTTGTACAAACAGTTGTAAAAACTTAGCTTTTTGTGAAATTAATAACTTACTGTGTATTGGCGGTCTCGAGGCAGTGGCGAGAACGGCGAGACGAAATAGGCGACAGGAGATAAGCGAAGTGAGAAATGCGAGGCGAGAAAGACAAGGCGTAAAAACAATACAATGACTGTGTAGTGGTGGTGTTATAATATTTACTACCTCATATTATTGTCCCGTGGGTTTCGTAAGTGGCGATAGAAGGAATTGAAGCAGTATAGGCAGCAGCATCTTTTAATAACACTTCAAAATAATAAAAAAACTTCGGTTTTCAACCGGCCTGCCAACCGTGACAACTATAATATATATACTTCCTATGAGGCAATCTATGGAGGAAACCTATATGTTACATTCTGTACTAAACTTTTGATAGTCTGTAATGAATTTAAAAAAAAAACGTGTGTCTGTGCTTATGTACGTACGCAGGAAGTTATACTTCTTTAGCGTAACAAAATAACAATAGCTAAAAATAACTACGATAAATATAGTTATCAGTTCCCACGAATACTTGAGAGTTACCCACAGTGACAGTTACCTACTGAAGTAGTCGCTTTGAGGTGTCAGTGTGCTCGCGCATCGTAAAAATTCATTCTAATAATTTTTCCCAATCGCCCCAAAAGAAGTATTACTTCAAAAATAATGAACAGTTACTAGATATACACCCATAATATGCCTATGTACGCCCCACAGCTAGGCAAATGAGCCTCTTCTATTGTTTTTGGGAGTGTATTTGGGACAGACAAACGTTATTATCATAACAGCCGGGCCGAATTTAGAAATTAGTTCGTAAAGTTTATGCGTCATAGACTAGACAAAGCTATTTAAGATTCATTGGCGTGTGTCAACTTACAAGTGTGAAAACTTCGTGACGCGATATCAATCGCTAAATGATACATGATTGTCGATAAATACGGTATCTGGGCAGTCTGTGTGTATTTTATTATGTGCCACTGTGTCAGTAAACGAGCCCCGAGCGGCTAATAGTCGGTAATTCGTGAAATACGGCTCGATGTAATCACTGACGTTGAACTGTCGTGAGCTCACTAATAGTATTTTTGTGTCGTTTATACTTTCGGTGCTTGTTGGCTGTCATATGACTACCATTTACTTAATGACGAGTCGCGGTATGCGGAGGCGTCAAATTAAGGAGGCGTTATTAACGACTAATAATGAAGCATTATTAAAGCTTTTGTTATAAAATTATAGGTTAAGAAAGATCTATTTTTAAAATAGTACAGTTGCTACTTTGCTGTAACTAATTTGTTTGTTAATCTGTACAAAAGTTTTTTTTTTTATTTTTACGTTGATTTTGGCATAAAGCATCCGGTAACTTATATTTGACGCTTGGCGTCTTCCAGATTGCTAAAGTGAGGTGAAGAAGTTGGCATTTGGAGTGCTGACTACCTTCGGTTCGACATATTCATGCGAGCAAGTGTTCTCTTGCATGAATATAATTAAAAGTAAAGTAAGAAGCCAACTAACAAATGAAAATTCAGAGTCGTGTTTGAAACTTAAAACAACTAGTTAACAGCCAAATTTATCCAAACTTTCTAAAACCATGCAAAGCCAACGCTCCCATTGAATGTCTTTGCTTAAATGTGTGTAATTGTTTTTTATTTTAAGTAAAAAATAAATTTTTAGTAAAGTTTAAATTTTCTACTTGAATAACCATACAAAGCCAAAGCTCCCATTGAATTTGTTTTCTCAATTGTTTGTTATTGAAGTACAAGTTAGTGTTGTAATATTGTTTTCAACAATAAATAAAATTATAAATTGGTAAGGCCACCAAAGTAGTCACAAAATTAATTTAACAAGCATTTGCAAAATATAGTTTTGCGACTAAATCTAATAAAAAACTTAATCTATTAAAAAAATAATCAACAAGTCAAATGATTTTTGTTTTACTAAAAGCGTTTGTAGTTGTGTGCTTTGAAATTAGGAAATATTTTTTCACCTTCCTGGTAATTATCGCATACTGTTGGCGACGCGTCTATAAATAATATTTCAATTTATTAGTCTACCAATTACGAATAGCTTCTAAAGATAAATTATCAAGCAATAATTATACTATAAGAAAACGCTTAGTAAAATTTTAAAGAAATTTCGCATTAATATCCTAAGGTCCAGGGTTCAATTCCCCGGTCGAATTACTTTTTGTTGTTTTCTTAGCAATATTTTTCTTAGTAAATTCATATAGGAAATTTTTAAGACAATAATCTATGATTCCGGATTCGATCCACCGGTTGAATTGTAGTTGGGAAAAAGGGTAGGCAGATGATGAATCGTACATAATATATATCCTAGCAGGTGGCGTTCTGTAGTTCTGCCTACCCATACAGAAAAAACGAAAACATTTTTTTTCATTCACGCCATCTAGTGTTCAATTTTCGTAAATGTAGGGACTAAGAATTCACCCACGTCAGTGTGTGTAAACGACACTATATTCAATGACAGATGTTATTTTTGAACTTTGTGTTTAATTGTGTGGATTTTGAGGCAATGATATGACCTAGTAAAATAAAGTATAATGTCCGAGTATCGCTATTGCTACTTCTACGACTTAATAATGTTCCAACTACACAAAAACCCAAATAAAGTAAAAAATTATGACTTCAGCGCCATCTCACGGGAAAATGGCCGAGAGCAGACCATATGTTTCACCTTAAGCTTACCTGGAGTGGTTAAACGGAATATTAGTAACGTTAATAGCACTGCTAGTGTCTTTTTATGCATTTTTTGTATAAACTTGTTTATTACTCAATAAAAATTCTTTAGAGATTCATCAATTCTTATAATGAAGATAATATTGTAGAAAAGAAGTAGTTGGTGTAGGTGCTAGGACTCCTTTTCAACCGACTTCAAAAAGGAGGTGCTCAATACGTCGGAATTTTTCTTTTAATGTATGTTCACCAATAACTTGTAGACGCCTGAACCGATTTGGAATTTTTTTTTGTTTCCAAGGGTATACTTCCCAGATGGTCCTATATAAATTTGATGAAGGTCTGACCAGTAGTTTTTGAGTTATCCTTAATAATTTATATTGTACAAAATTTTTAATTTTACCACTTGTATGAGTACGCGCGAGAATTCGTCTAGGTAGCTACCACCTCCTTACATATTTTTTCGCCCAGTGCTTGCACTGACTGCTGTTTTCCGTTCCGAAGGATATAGAGAGTCAGCGAAGTTACAGGCTGTGAGGCAGACTCAGCCCTCAAAATTAACAACGCACTTGTAGTCTTCTTTGTTTAAAGTTAGCTACAAGTGGATGTCAGTTCGTTTTATAAAAAAATAATAAAGAGATCGACTTTGAATTAATGTAGAGGAACCTACCGTGCTCGTGGTGTAAGAAGGGTGCGTGCTCGCGTCCCAGTGCTTTCTCACGCTTGCGCCATTTGGCTCGTCGATTCTGGAACCACACCTGGGGATAAACACATAGCATCAGCATAATATACGTCACACTATGACACAGGCCTCTTCCCATTTTTATAGAGTTCAGAGCAGGAAGGTGCTTTATACGTGGTAAAACCATGCTGGAGCAATGTTATGTTTGTAGTTGTACGAATAGGTCGGCTCAACTGAAGAAGGATCACGCTCTCACAGAATACCAGCGCAATGCTGCTGTGTTTCGGATGGTGAGTGTAGAGAATGAGAGACCCTTTTTGCTGGAAACGAGGCTTTCCATCTTAGTACTCACTGGTGACAACGCATCTGCATTTTGATTCTTAATTGAGGAGGATAATGATGATGATTATGATAATGATGATGATTATTATTATATAGTGCAGCATAATAAATACGTGCTGTTTCTTTTGAGGGTGCAGGTTTGTTTGAGCTAGTGGTGAAACTTTGAATACATTAATTTAATCATTACAGCCTATTAACGTCCACTACTGAACAAAGGTCTTTATAACGTGATTGCGATTAGGGTATATTTGCCATATTTGCCACATTTGGCAGGCGTATTGGCAACCGTAGTTTATATTATTTTGATTTTTTATGATGCTGGTGCCCAACATTTGTTATACTTCCCTCTGTCACCTTTTCCGACGCAAAGGATGAAAAGGGGTAGTGGATTCCCTTACACCGACACTTAAAGTTTAAATAGACTAAAATAATTATTGTTTATGATGTTTAGCAAAAAATGTTTATGCATTTTTTATAGAATATGAGGCAAACGATCACGTAGTGCGTGGATGCTGTGGTCCATAGACATCTACATTTATCCTCAATTACGAATTAAAATGCAGATGCGTTGACCACCCCTGAGGACTAAAATAGAAAGCCTCGTTTCCAGTAAAAAGGAAAGCTGCTATTTTACGCTGGTATTCTGTGAGAGCGTCATCCTACTCCGGTCGAGCCGACCCATTCGCGCTTCAACTATAATTTAGCTGCAGCGTGGCTCTACCACGTAAAAACAAAATGGGTGGAAGTTTTAGCCGAAGTCGAAGTTTTCTAGCAAGCGCCGAAACGAACGAATGAACTGTGTTTTTGTTTTATGTTTATGTTTTGTTTTATGTACAATCATCATCATCATCATCATTACAGCCCTTCACAAGTCCACTGCTGAACATAGGCCTCCCCCAAAGAATGCCACAAAGCACGGTCCTGAGCCACCTGCATCCATCGACTTCCTGCATGTCTTACCAGTTCGTCACTCCATCTCGTGGGGGGACGCCCTACAATTCGCCTACCGGTACGAGGCTGCCACTCGAGAACCTTTCTTCCCCATCGGTTGTCGGTTCTTCGAGCTATATGGCCGGCCCATTGCCACTTCAGCTTACTAATCCGTTGGGCTATGTCGGTTACTCTGGTTCTACTGCGGATATCCTCATTCCTAAGTTTATCACGCAGAGAAACTCCGAGCATAGCCCTCTCCATAGCTCGCTAAGCGACCTTGAGCTTCCTCATCCGGCCAGCAGTGAAGGACCACGTCTCAGTTCCGTATGTCATCACTGGCAACACGCACTGTGTGTACAGTCTCGTTTTCAAGGTTTGAGGTATACCTGACGAGAAGATGTGCCGTAATTTCCCGAACGCTGCCCAACCGAGTTGAATCCGTCGATTGACCTCTCGGTCGAAGTTGGACTTACCTAGTCGGACTATTTGTCCCAGGTAAACATACTCGTCAATAACTTCGAGCTTAGTGCTCCCAACAACTACCGGCATAGGTGTGACATGGACATTGAACATGATCTTAGTTTTGTCCATGTTCATCTTAAGACCTATCCGTTGGGAAACACTATTGAGGTCATTGAGCATAGTGCTTAGGTCCTCCAGCGATTCTGCCATAAGGACTATATCGTCGGCAAATCGAAGGTGAGTGATGTACTCGCCATTGATGTTGATACCGTGTCCTTTCCAGTCCAGAAACTTGAAAACGTCTTCCAATGCAGCGGTGAACAGTTTAGGGGAACGACAACCTGTCTTACACCTCTCTGCAATTGGATAGGTTTCGTACTCTGGTTCTGTACTCGGATAGCCATCGTAGCCCTACTGTACAAGCACTTCAACACTTCGATATACCGACAGTCAACTTGGCACCGCTGAAGGGATTGCAGCACCGCCCAAATTTCGACGGAATCAAAGGCTTTCTCATAGTCCACATACGTCAGACATAGTGGCAAATTGTACTCTTCGGACTTCTGTACAATTTGCCGAAGGGTATGTATGTGGTCTATGGTGCTAAAGCCCTTTCGGAAACCGGCTTGTTCGGGAGGCTGGAAGTCGTCAAGTCTGCGCGCGAGACGATTTGTAATGACTCTCGAAAACAGCACGTAGACGCGGCTCAGAAGGGAAATCGGTCTGTAGTTCTTCAAGAGAGCGTTGTCACATTTCTTGAAGAACAAGACCACCGCACTTCTGCTCCACGCCTCCGGTGTAATGCCACCATGAAGGACGGAATTAAAGAGCTTCTGAAGGACTTCAAGTACCGGTTTTCCACCCGCTTTCAGAAGCTCCGCTGTAATTCCATCCTCGCCTGGGGCCTTACCGTTTTTAAGGTGCTGGAGAGCCATTCTAATCTCGCTCAGACTGACTTCCGGGATATCTTCGGAATAGTGTCGGATGAGACTCGCTCTTGGATCGTTACTCACACTTGCGTGTGGCTCCAACGATGCCGTGTACAACTGCCCATAGAACCTCTCAATCTCACTCAAAATCTCAGGTGTCCCGGAAACAATGCTGCCACATTCTGTCTTCAGCTTTGACAGGTGGCTCTTTCTGGCAGACAGATCTCTGGCAAAGACTTTGGAGCCTTGGTTTCGCTCAATCGCTTCTTCAATACGAGATGTATTGAAGTTGCGTAAGTCCCGCCGCATGCATTTGGAGATCTGTCTGTTCAGATGCCTATATTCTGTCAAGTCTGTTGATGAATGTAGCTTCATCTCCCGTCTAACAGCCATGAGATTAAGAGTGTGATCGGAGAGTTTTTGTGTTCTTCTGCGGCGGGTCTTGCAGAACTTAGCTCCGGCCGCATGGACAGTTTCCACGTCTTGTCATTCATATCGTCCACTTCATTGCAGTCTCCTAGGCACTGAAAACGGTTTTGTAACTCGAGCTGAAAGGTTTCGGGACTTCGGAACAGAGCACGAGGGGGACGGAGCGTTGACTTCATTAGACGAGACCTCTCCAACTTAACATTTAGGTTCAGTGTGCCTCTAACCATTCGGTGATCGCTACCAGTTTTCACCCTCGCGATCACGGAGACATCACTGAACAGTTGTCGTCTGGTCGTCATAATGAAGTCAATCTCATTTTTTGTCGAACCGTCGGGGCTCGACCAGGTCCACTTCCTGTGGGGCCGCTTCTGGAAGAAAGAGTTCATCATAAAGAGTCCCTCTTTCTCCATGAAGTCGGCCAGCTGCTGGCCCCTTGGGTTCCGTTGCCCTATTCCAAATTTCCCTACTTTCAGCTCACCGTTCTCTCTTGTGCCTAGTTTTGCATTAAAGTCTCCCATTAACACCGTGCCGTTGCCGTGTAGTGGCGGTCAAGAATATCCACTACCCCATATCCTCCCGTGGGTGTCGTAAAAGGCGACAAAGGGAAACAGGCAGGAGATGGGCAGCAGCATCTTCCTGATAATAGCCAAATTACAATAAAAAAACTGCGGTTGCCAACCCGCTCGCCAAGCGTGGCAACTATGGCAAATACCCCCCTATGAATGACAGTAACAAAGAAACGGCCCCCAGTCCCCAGCGGCCCCGCTATTCCTGGCTACGGTGGCGACCATGGTAACGGCGGGGCAGGGGGTGCTAAGAATCTCCGGTGGAGGTTCGGTTGCCACCTTAGACGACTCGACCTGGCAACGTACAACGCACGCACCCTGAGGACTGACGAGAAGATCGTGGAGCTGGAAGAAGAGATAGACAAGTTGCGCTGGCATATTATAGGATTATCCGAAGTCCGAAGAGAGGGGGAGGACACGGTAATCCTCGAATCCGGCAACTTGCTCTATCACCGGGAGGGCGACCATCTGTCCCAAGGAGGTGTCGGATTTATCGTCCACAAGTCTCTCGTTAACAACGTTGTAAAGATCGGGAGTGTGTCGACGAGGGTTGCGTACCTTATACTCAGAATCACCAAACGGTATTCGCTGAAGGTCATACAGGTTTACGCACCAACTTCGGCACACCCTGATGAGGAGGTGGAGGAAATGTATGAGGATATCTCTAGAGCCATGCATTCCTCCAAAACCCAATATACGGTGTTAATGGGAGACTTCAATGCAAAACTAGGCACAAGAGAGAACGGTGAGCTGAAAGTAGGGAAATTTGGAATAGGGCAACGGAACCCAAGGGGCCAGCAGCTGGCCGACTTCATGGAGAAAGAGGGACTCTTTATGATGAACTCTTTCTTCCAGAAGCGGCCCCACAGGAAGTGGACCTGGTCGAGCCCCGACGGTTCCACAAAAAATGAGATTGACTTCATTATGACGACCAGACGACAACTGTTCAGTGATGTCTCCGTGATCGCGAGGGTGAAAACTGGTAGCGATCACCGAATGGTTAGAGGCACACTGAACCTAAACGTTAAGTTGGAGAGGTCTCGTCTAATGAAGTCAACGCTCCGTCCCCCTCGTGCTCTGTTCCAAAGTCCCGAAACCTTTCAGCTCGAGTTACAAAACCGTTTTCAGTGCCTGGAAGACTGCAATGAAGTGGACGATATGAATGACAAGCTCGTGGAAACTGTCCATGCGGTCGGAGCTAAGTTCTGCAAGACCCGCCGCAGAAGAACACAAAAACTCTCCGATCACACTCTTAATCTCATGGCTGTTAGACGGGAGATGAAGCTACATTCTTCAACAGACTTGACAGCATACAGGCATCTGAACAGACAGATCTCCAAATGCATGCGGCGGGACTTACGCAACTTCAATACAGCTCGTATTGAAGAAGCGATCGAGCGGAACCAAGGCTCCAA